AAATTTCTAATGTATTTTATTTCAAGGTGAACAATCCGAATCTGAATCAGAGGAGGCGTGATGGCATGTGGCCTTACGCCATTCCTAGGTGAGATGATACAAATAACAAGTATAAATTCTTAGTTGTTCTAGCAAATCTTACTTAAAGTTCAAGGTGAACAAGCCGAATATGAATTCATCGGATTGTTATAACAAATTGCGAGGTGATGGCATGAGGCGATACGCCATTTGAGAGTGGTAGCCATTCCTATATGAGGTGAGTGAAATATTTATTAGAAATACCTCATTCAATTGTGCACTTCTAAGTCTTGGTCCACTCAGTACTGTTTGCATGTTTTTATTTTAATTCTTTCTCTAAAATGTTATTTAGCATGTGGCTTCATGCCATTGCTCTCCACAATCATGCATTGAATTTTTCTATCCTTGCATAATACTTCTCCATATATATAGCATGTGCGCACATGTGATATGGTTCATTAGGCCTGATATAGTGTGTGAGGTAAAACAAAGATGATGTGACATATGCATTTACCAATCACACGTGCATAAATCTAATAATATGGCGTGTGGCCCATATTAATGGCACATAAACCCATATTGTGGGTTTACGTGCTTTATGTACCATCATTCCCTTGCAGCGTGTGTGTTGGTTTCCTTTTATAACACAACGAACTCCATATTTTAGGGTGAAGAGCGTTCTCATGGCAAGCACAAAATCTGTAAGTGAGGCAGAAAAGGAGACGGAGAAGGAGATAGGTGAAGATGTAGAATATATAAGTCTTCCAAACTCCCCGTACTATACTCCAGGTGATCATTTTTCTGAACAAACGGCAACATTAACAACTATCGAGAACACCCCAGTAACGTCAGAGACAACAATCCAAAGCAAAACAATTGACCCGGAGAAGGATGATAGTATTGCTAAGAGTACCAAAAAGGAGGTGTCCACTAGCGCTTAGGCTTATAATGGCGTGTGCCCTCATGCCATTTACTTGATCACCAAATACCTTTTTCCCTTTGCACTAGTATATCTTAATACCGGTTTGAGAAATAGAATGGCATGTGCCCTCAGGCCTTTTACTAAATCACCTTTGAAAGAAATGCAAGCCTCTATGTCGTAAAAAAAAGGTACTAGAGAAATTCCTTAATAATATGAATGTTATTTAGTTTCATGAAAATACACTAAGGGTCAAATGAGTTAAATGACTTCTCCAGACTAGCAATGCCTCTTGCTACACCTTCACAATTAGATTCGTTAGAAAAAGATAACATTGAATAATATCTAAATGTTCTCACCATTAAGTTATATGTCTGGCTAATAGGAATGACGTTCATCTTGGAAAGCTCACCACACGCTCAATGAACAAACAAATAGTGTGTGCGCGCATGCCATCGCTCTTCTTTAGCTTCAGATTCGGCTTGTTCACCTTGACAATGAGATTTATTATACAACCAGATGGACTCAGTCTGGACACAAAGTCACCGCGCTAGTCACCATGCCCCAGATATGTCTAGCCCCTAGACAAAAAACATATAATTTCACGTCATTTTCAAATACTTGAAAATTTGTACCTAGTCCCATTTTACTGAATAAATCCCACTTTAACAAAATAGAGCTGGTGTTTTTTATTAACTACTTGGCAAATGTTTGTAAATGTATTCATTTCTTTTCAAGGAAACCACAGTGTAGCTTTGTGTAGGTCGTCTCATTTTGCCAATGCCAAAGCGTACACTTCCATCTACCTATCGCTATGGAACATTGTTCTATGTCACCGTTGCAATCTCATGGCGTTGCAAAAACAAAAGGAAGTTAGAGAAACCATAAAGAAAACTAAAGAGAACATAGACCTGGGGTTGAAGCCTCTCAATTCGTTGAACAAGCATTTTGGTTAGAACAAGCACCTGTCAAACTTCGACTTCCATATCCTTGAACAGCCAGAGTTTTCATGATTGTTGTTTTCATTGAGGTTGGACCATTGTCATGTACGTCTTCAACTGGATTGAAGTTCTGAAGTCGCAGATGCCCAACGTTGTTTCTCAGCTCCCAGGTCTTGTGTTGAGCGCAGCAGCAGGTTCACATGCCCAAGGACTCCGCGACTTCTGAATAACACCCTTCTCCAACATCTCCTTGACGTTTGCACGTAAAATCTTGATCTCCTTGGGTGACCAACAACGAACAGGAACCTTGATTGGATGAGCATCCCCGGTTGGAATGGGATGACGTGTGGCAATCTTGTCCCCAGACGATAGGTCAAATTCAAAGAGATCAGAATACTCCTTCATGAGCTGGTCAACAGCTGCAACGCAAAGATCATCGGAGGGATCGGAAAAGGGAAGAGCAGAACAAGATGGAAACACAAGAGGAAATAGTGGGGGAACAACAGTAATGGAAGCAGAGGTAGAAGTAGAGGGACGAAGAAGTACGGAAGTGAGAGGAATGGATGAAACATAAGGAACTATGAGACAAGGGGGAGAAGCCTCAAAGTCATATTTGGCATGATTGCACTGCAACCAATCCATACCAAGAATGAGGTCAAAAGCTTGACTCGGCACCACCCGCAACGACTGCAACTCAAGCTTGAGATCGCCCACACGCACAACCAGGTCTGCCTCATCTTGTGCACATGCATGTGTACGGCTGTTGCCATAAAGAATGAAAACTGGATCCACCGCACGACGCAAGTGTAGACGACAACGTGTGGCAACAGGTCGAGCAATAGAAGATAAACTCGAACCTGTATCAACCAACACGGAGAGAAGAATAGGAGACCTCTTGTTATAAAAACGAGCTTGGAAAGTAAACACTGGATGAACCGGTGCCGAGTGAACCCCTTGATGATACTCCCGAAAGAAAGATGGAGGGGTCACTAACTTATTCGCGCAAGGTCCCTCCATTACTCGCGCGACTCCTCGTTTCCCGAATGCACCTCGGTATCCAAACCTTCCACCGCAGCAGCACCAACAGGACGTTGCTGACGCCAAGGTCTCCACCCAGGAAATGGAGGTCGCCAATCCGGAAAGCGCCGACAACACCGATAAGTATGACCAACTTCATCACATGCCCAGCAACGAACATCACGGCCATGACCACGTCCTCACCCTTGTCCTTGGACTCGAGTAGCAGCAGCATCAACCTCCATTGGAACAGGACCATCACTCATAGAAAGTGGAGCTGAAGGACGTGTAGCAAGAAGTGGAAGAGGCGACGTCTCATAACATTGTGCCAAGCGAAGAGCATCGTCAAGGGTGGCAGGAGCAAGTGCATGCACAAGGCCAATAAGATCTTGACGAAGTGCTGGCCACAACATTCCTAGCTTGATCCGCTCCGACATATTAGGCTCCGCACGAAGCAAAAGACTTCGGAAACGAACGCCAAATTGCATCACCGACTCAGATGGCCCTTGGCGAAGACGATGCAATTGTTGGAAGGCATCGTCACCGTCGTCGGCATGTCCGAAGGCGCGTTTGAAGATGTCTGGAAGAACACTCCAATCCCCACGAGTGGCCACACTCAATCCATTGTACCACTGCAACGCCGTCCCTTGGAGACACGTGGGAAACTCACGCAAACGTCGAGCATCATCCCAAGAATGATATGTGGTAATCACCATGAAGTGATCGAACCAATGGTACACATCATCCCCAGGATTCCCACGAAAGAACTCCGGCCGAACGCGAGGATTGGCACCAAGAGCAGAAGGAGTTGGACCACATGCCGTGAATGCCACCATCAATTGAGTTTAGTTGTTCAATTGCAAGTGCATAGCATCAAACAATTGAACCAATTGCTGCTCTAGAGTCAAAGGAGGAGATTGCAAATCGGCCATGAAGATGAACGAAAAAGAAAAAGCAAAAGAAGAAAAATGACAAAAAGCTGGAAGGAAATGGTAAATCTAGACAATGCAAAAAGCTAAATCTAAACCAAAATCCTAAAAGGAAAGAACAAAAGAAAGGAAATGGAAAAAGCTAGATCTAGACAATGCAAAAGCTAGATCTAAACCGAAATCCCAAATCCAAGCACTCCCCAGGGACAATCAAAGGTGCCCCTCACCTCCACCAATGTGAGTGCATAGAATATAGAAAGGGAATACAGAAATATGCATATTCATTAGCCCAAAAACCCTAACTTATATACAGGAGCGAGTGGTCCAGATTGAAACCAATCCGACGGCTACCAAAATCCCACTACGCTAATATTAATATACGGCATCATAGCCGTACACTTGGCCCTCACAGTTTCTAATTTATAAACACAAGATTAATTTTATTACATAAATTAACCAGAACATATTTTGTTCCTTTTTCTATTTCCTTTTTCAAATTTCCAGGTGAAGTTTCCAATGATCAAAGACTTAAATGAGGTCGGGTCCTCCACACTCCACTGAGGGGGAGACAAGATCCTGAAAGCTTGTTAGAAAAGTTTCTCTTAAAATAATACACTTTGCAATAAAATTTGGAATGCTGGACATTCATGTCAACTCTTCCTCCAGAGACCATTGTCTCTGTGGCCTAGCGCTAAAAGCTGTCGCAGCAAGTTCTCTTTCGTTTTCTCTATCGAAGTTCCTAGTTCATGAGGGAAAGATTCCTACCTTGTTCCCAGCTACTTGTTGGTTTTGCACCACCTTGGCCATACCACACTTGGTACCATTTCTTCCAGTGCTTCTCCCACACTTGAGATACATCTCGAAGATCCGAGGATAGCATCAATTTGCTGAATGCCCAATGCTCATGCCGCTCGAGTATACTTGCCAACGCTCCAAGCTTTGGATGGTGACCAAAGGATTGTTACCTTCAAATCCGACGGTGATGCGGCACTCCAGTCGTAGAGAACTGCTGCCATTGCTTCCTGTCAACAATATCTAGTTTCAAGAACAGCTGCAATCGAGAGAGGAATTCATTTCCCTATGACCCTTCTTCCATCTCGCAGCCGAGTGCGTGGGTCATCCATCCCATGCAGTTGGGCATAGAAAATTGTGAGATCATAATTTTGACCCTCTGGCCAAGCAAATATCTCAAAAGCTTTACCCGACAGTAAAAAATACAAACAAAGAAGCAACTGAGGAACTAATGGTTATCTTCCTCTTCTTCTAGCTTAACTAACACTTATCTTCTTCTTCTCGGTGAACTAACGGTTATGTTCCTCTTCTTCTAACTGCGATCTGACATTTCCAATCCATCATACCTTCCATCCATTTTACTTTCAATAGACCTTAATGCTTCGAAGATACAGTTCCAACACGTAGCCTTTTCACTGCTTGTAGTATGAGAAAGTATGTTAGTGTAGCTGCTGGAGTTAGAGATTGAGACTTACCCTCACTAGAACCAGACAATCATGCAACACTTTTTTGAGAACCAGATGATCCTGTAAGAATGTATTGTGGTAAGAATTCCTTGAATCTATGAACGAGCTTACCTCTGGTGCTTGCTGAACTCCCTTGTTTTGTAATTGACTTGGAAGCGATGAGTGGCGAGCGTATAGACTCCTCGGTTTTGAACCTATACATTGATCCTGAGCTACAACAAAGTAAAGGAAAAGGATAACACACCATTACTAGCACATCCACAGCTTTGGTAGATTTCAATTCACGTGAGTCGATGTTTTGGCTGCTGGTGATGCTCCTGTAAGAATGTTGAAGTTCTGAAATCTACAGTGAACAAGCTTACCTCTGATGCTGGTTGAACTCTTGGAAGCAATGAGTGGCACCACCTCGGTTGTGTCCCTGTACATTGCTTTTGAGCTAAAGCAAATCATAGCAAAAGAATTGTAAACCTTTTCTTGTTCTTTGACGCTCTGGACATTTTCCGCAGAAAAATCCCTGGCCGAAGCAGCTTTCTGCTGAGAAAAAACGAGTAAAAAACTAGAGCAGAAAGAGCTAAAGATGAGAGGTTTACCTGTTTGCCAAACAATGCAATATTGATGTTCATCGCGTTTCTTTGCACTCCTCGCCTCGCATACTGGAAGGAAACGTTATCCGACTCTGCTCTTTCAAGTGCCTTCTTGAACTCCATTCCACCAAAGTCGATGTTTCTGCTGCCGTCAATGACGCACAAATCCCCTCCACATTCTGGATTCTCAACACAAGCTTGAGCAAAGGCGTCGAGACCCAAAGAAAGAGCTTCTCCCACACTTGCTGCTTCCCCATGGTTCTGTCCTTGAACCGGCTGTGCAAGAATCATTCGTGCTTGTCGTGCTCCGGAACCAATGACCAACACTGATTGCTCCTTCGTAAGCGCTGTTGCCTTAAATCCGTTGCCTTCATCCTTGATCATCACTAGTGTCTTCTCATCGTAGATGAAGAAAGATGCACTGAAGTTGCCATCTGTGCTTGAGAACAGGTTTGCTTTCTTCATCATGAACTTGACGGCATCACAATGTGTCAACTCCTTCTTGCTCAGCTTCACTTGCAAAAGCTTGATGAGTTGACGACACACAGCTACTTCCCCAGCAAAGCCAACTCGAAGTCTTGGCTCACTTCTTACTTCGACAATCTTCTGCACGTTCCTTCTCATCTCAACAACACTTCCATCACCTTCAGTTGCAGTTGTCAGGGAATCAAAGAGAACCAAGAATCCTTGCTTGCAAAGTAGTGCTAGCCCAATAGTTCCTACACAAGAAACAAATAATAAAACCAGGAAATCTTGCTTTTTTAAATGAATGCTCACCATGCTCTATGAGCTGGCTTTGCTGGCTTGGAATAGAGATGGAGATGATCTTGTGCCCCAGAAGATATCTCTCCACCTCCTCAAGGAGGGGCTTGAATCCTGCACGATAAAAAAAAAACGTTATAAGTCCTACATTATAGGAGTTTCAGAATCTATGCACTCGCCTTTGTGGGGGCAGCAGCCAATTGGATGTATGCTCACAAGGCTTGAGAGTTCCATTGAAAAACTCACTTCACCAGTGCAGCTCTCGATCTCAAAGCAAGCAATCTTGTCGGCCCGAGTTTTCCCCTTATGATTGGCACTGGCAACAGAGGGAAACAATTCAAACACAAGTCAAATAAAAGTCACACTACCACTTACCTCACAAGATGAAAGGCCGGTAAAACCATTACAGTCGAGCCAATGATGAGCGACTCTTGAACAATGCTTGTAGCAGCTCGAGTTCCACCCAAGGGAACATTACCTCCGAGTATACAAGCACTGATGTTGTAGAATTTCTGGAACAAAGAATAAAAAAACTTAGAACCTCATCCTGCATTGAAGCTAAGCTTATGGAAAGCAACAAACCTGTGATTGCCATTTGAAGCTGAGGAGCAGCAAGAACTGAGCTCCATCCAACGGAACGTCATCTCCACGAGCATTGATGTTGGAGAATTCCTGGAAGAAAAAATAAAAATGACTTAGAACCTGTCCTGTGATAACGCTAAAGCAACAAACCTGTGATTGCCATTTGAAGCTGGGGAGCAGCAGGGACTGAGCTCCATCCAAGGGAACGTTATCTCCACGAGCATTGATGTTGTATAATTCCTAGAACAAAGAACAAAAAAGACTTAGAACCTCGTCCTGTGATGAAGCTAAAGCAACAAACCTGCGATTGCCATTTGAATCTGGGGAGCAGCAACACCTGGAACTGAGCGGGGATTCCTTCCCTCGGCCTGACGAGAGAATTAATCAGATAGTTGTCACTTCCCATGAAAGGCAGGCTCTGCCCCTGCATGAAAAAGCACCAGAGATCTGCTGTTAGGGGATTTCCTTTGCTAGCATTGACAGTATGACCTTGAGCACGATAGAGACATCAGGCGCATCACAGAAGCAAGCAAGCGCCCAGCCGTCTTGCCCATCCCGCCAAAAAGATTTAAACACTGCCACGTATGACATCCACGTGGCATAGTCACGGTCCACGTGGCTATGTCATATGATAGAAAGGACAATAAGAACCGCAAGCGCTCGAGCCCGGTAAAGATCCATACCTCATGAATGTAGCTTGTGATCTAAAGCGCGACCAATCGAGCCCAATGAAGATCACATAGCCCATGCATTCCCTTGCCTGAGCTCCCTGCGCCAAAACCCCTAAATTCTCTCTAAAGATTTTAAAAAAGAAAGAAGACAACGATGTGATTCGAGCCGTGGACGTCTCATCCAATGAAACAGCAAAATAAACTCATGGAGTGTCCTCTTTCTTCCTCTATAGGCGAACTTTCTTCCTCTTCCTCGTTTTCTCAAGCTTGAAACTCCCCTCTTCCCCTCCTCGCCTTGCTTTCCTTCCTCCTCTCCCCGCTTGTTGTTATCCTATTCCTTCCTCACCTTCTCTTTCTTTGTGACTCTCTTTTTTTTTTGCTGCTGCCGAGCTTGGAAGATCTCGGCTTCTTCTTGTCCAACTTCTTCACGGATGGCTCCCGTTTCTGAGCTCCATTTGCTTCATTACATGGATTTCCTATGTCGTTGTCAAGCTCTCGCGTGATAGGTATCAGACCATCAAGATCGCTGCAACGAACATACAAATTCTGCCTTTGTCACAGACAGACCTTTGATTCACACAGACTAAACGAGTAGAAGTCCCGGCCTGAAATTCTATTGTGAGTCCATTGAGTCGAAAGAAAAAAAAGGCTTTCTTTAAAGGATGATCAACAACGCAGGGACCTATGTATGGATTGGCATCCATTTAATCTCTGGAATTCTCAAGGACCCTCGATAAGCCACAATTTTCTGGGAGGAAGGAGTGCCATGGCGTAGGACACACGATGCGTATTTTTCAAATGCCTCAAATAGCCTTTCAAGTGTCTAGGGTCAGGTTTAGGGTTTGTCAAGATGGAAGAAGCTATCCGGAGCATGCTGATGCAGTTGGAACATCCCGGATATGTGGTGGATTTCTCTGTCGAGGAGACACCCATCGTCGATCCTGTGACTGAGAGGGATTACTTCCCTGTGAAGATTGATATAGAAAATGTTCAGGGTTGGGTTGTCAAAGGAGGGCAATACTTCCCTCCCGATGAAAAGGGTATGAGGGCTCTGGCTCTCTTTCTGTGGGATGATGAGGAGCATGTATATGTGAGGTATTTGGTCCAGAAGGTAGGTTTTCAACTGTTTTTCTTTTATCTTCTTTTCTTGAGGTTGGAAATTTGTAGGTATCTCCAGAAGGAAAAGTATTGGAATCGGTAGTCCAAACTAGTGGCAAAACTGACTATGATTGGCGAAACTATTCTTGCTTATGGCAGGAGAGTCAAGATGCAATTTTTGCAGAGCTTATGGAATTGAGTGCAAAAGGGTATAGAGTTATGGCATAAAGATTTTATGAATTCCTAGGTACGTGGTATGGTTAGCAATAAATATAAAAATTATATAAATTTATTTTATTATTTGGTTCAGCCTGCATGAGTAGCGAACATCAATACACTTGATGTTTACCTGCTTCATATATGGAAGTTCTCTCCACAGCAATTGTATCAATATTTGCGTGGCCTTTGTGCGTCCCTGGGAGGCACTTTATAGCACAGACTTCCATCAGATCTGGTGGTTCCTGTCGTCTAGGGATTGAGATTTTTGCTCTCAGTCTGTTTGACACTTGCCTTTTTTGCAGACAGATATACGTGATTCATAAGCCACCAATTCAAACACAAAAACTACAACCTTTAGTGATTCTTCTCTCCCTGTCATTGGAGAACAAAACTAATCTCAAAGGTTCAAATGTTACGTAAACAGTATACCTTCTTGCAGATGCTTAGTGTTCGTCCTGAAGTTGCCTATCAATCTAACAATACCATAACAAAATTGATTATCAATAGTTCTGGTCTCCAGGATCAAGGAAGCTATTGTGTCACATTTTTGAGACGAGTTCCAAGAAACATGGCCGTTGAACATCGTTTCAAAGAACAGATCTCAGATCTCTGGACAGATGGAAATATTTAGCACAGAAAGGTTTAAGTAACACTTCAGCAAGGCGTCAGGGTGAATAGACTCGTGCCCTGGCTTTGGATCTGTGTGCCTCGACATCACCGAGTACCAATGATATGGAAGATGTTATCAAAGCGAGAAATTGTTCTCGTCACTGCCTCTCTCTCGGCTTAGACACTTGGAAGAAAACTGCATTGAAGAAGCATCCAAAGCGCGAGCTTGTCTTTCCAGTTTGAGAGCAAAACATAGCGGTAAATCGTTGAGCAATCTCACTAGATCGGGCCCCCATAAAGATAGCCACAACTAAAGCTGTACTAGCACTTGTCCGTAGCCTGTCACTACGGAAAGAAGCATGAATGTCATACGTTTATAGACGTTGTCTCCGAGCCGGAGGATGTACGTTCCTCTTCCTGAGATCTGATGTAAAACAAGACCGCATCAGTTGTGGTGGTCGTGGAACTTCATCCAAGACTCACCAATCAAGGCCCAAGGAATACCCTCGACACCAGTTGCTTGTTTTAATTTAAACCATGTGAGAAGAGTGGACTATTCGGAGATGCTGATGCGATTGAAACATGTGGTGAGGAGACCCCCAGCTGAAGAGTGAAATAGAGGATGTTCAGGGTGGGTTGGCAATACTTCCCTCACGATGAAAAGGGTATGAGGATCTTTCTGTGGGATGATGTAAGGTAGGTTTTTAATTGTCTTCTTTTCTTAAGGTTGGAAATTTGTAGGTATCTCCAGAAGGAAAACTACTAGACCAAAGTGACACAACTGACTATGATTAGCGAGATTATTCTTGCTTATGGAAGGGGAGTCAAGCTGCAATGCATGTACGTATTATGCAACTGAGTGCAAAAGGTATTTACTTATGATTTCCTATTTTTATGATTTTAACCAGATATTGTTTTTATTGGTTCGAAAGAAAAAAGAAAAAAGGTAAAAAAATATTAAAATCGCGTTTGTGTTCTTGAGCTTCGTCTTACAAGTTAGATCGATTCATCCTTCTAGAAACGAATGTGTCAGTTCTTGAGCTTGTGCTGTGAAAAAATCCAGGCTGTTTTTGATCAATCCATCCTCTCGTACAGAAAATCTACGCCTCTCTCGTGTACAAGTTGGAGAGCATGACATAGGGGCCGGATCTCTGGCCATCCAGTTCCAATGCCTGCCCTGCCGCTCGCATCCCCCTCTCCACATCTGGCGAGACTTTACACGCACCCAAGAGCGTCCCCCACGCCACATCACAGGGCGGGAATGGCATTGCCGCGATCAAATCCTCCGCCTTGCCCAGCTCCCCGGCACGCCCCAGGAGATCGATCATCCGGCAGTAGTGAGATCCAATTGGGCTCAGCCCGTGATCCACGATCGATCCAAACTCACGGATCCCTCGCCCAATGTTGCCCGAGTGGCAGCACGCCGTGAGGATGGCCGTGAAGGACTCGCCATCCAGCGCGTAGCCCTCGAGTGCCATCGCGCGCGAGAGATGGATCGCGTCGGCGGCGTGGCCATCGCGCGCCAGTGCCGCGATCAGGGCGTTCCAGGCGTCGTGCTGGGAGGAGCCGCCACTCTCGAAGACCTCACGCGCCTGGGGAATATACCCGTTCTGGGCATATGCCGAGATCATGGCGCCGAAAGATGCCGCGTTGCGCTCCGGCATGGACTCGAATATCCGCCGGGCCTCTTCCGTACCGCCCTTCGAGGTGTAGCCCGTGATCATCGCGTTCCATGACACGTTGTCTCGTACGGGCATGAGATCAAACAACGCTCGCGCTACCTCCAGATGCCCGTTCTGGGCATTTGCCACTAGCAGCGTCGTCCAGGACGCGAGGTTGTGGTAGCGGATCTCGCGAAAGCACTGGTTTGATTCCGAGAGATTCCCCTTCATCGCGCTCACCATGATCATGGTGATGCACGAGAAGGCGTCGCGCTGCGGCATTCTGCGGAAAAATTCCCGCGCGTCGTCCAGATTGCCGGTCTTGGCGTAGAGCAGGATCATCGCCGTCCACGCCAGGATCCCGAGCCCTGGCATCGATCGAAACAAAGCGAGCGCTCGATCGATGTTGCCGGATTGAGCGTGCGCCTGGAGGAGGATGTTGTAAGAAACTGGATTCGTCTCGGGGATTTGGCGAAAGAGCTCCTCGGCATCGTCCAGGCGTCCATTTTGCGCGGTGGCCGTGAGGATCGAGTTCCAGGAGATCACGTCCCGGTGGGGAATCTTATGGAATGCCTCGATCGCGTCTTGCAGATAGCCGCATTGGCCATACACCGAGATCAAATTGTTCCATGGTTCCACAGCTCTTCTCCGCATTCCATCGAACAAGGCCTTGGATTGTTCCCACTGGCCGTGGTGAGCATACGCGCCCATCATGGCCGTCCACGTGGTGGAATCCCGAGCGTCGGACTGCTCAAACAGCGCCTTGGCCTCGTCAAACTGCCCTGCCTCGGCATATGCCGCAACCATGACGTGCCACGGCCGTGCGTCTAACTGCGGCATGTCGTGGAACAGAACCGCGGCTTCCCGCAGTAATCTACATTGCGCGTACGCCGAAATCATGGTTGTCCACGTCACCGCGTTGCGTTCGTCTAGGCAGTCAAACAGCGCCCTTGACTCGTCCAGATGCCCGTTACGGGCATACCCGGCTATCATCGCGTTCCACGTCACCACGGTGTGCTGCGGCATCCTGTGGAACATTTCAACCGCGAGGTCGACGTGGCCGTGCTCCGTGCATGCCGTCAGCATGGTGTTCCACGTCACCACATCCTTGGGGACGACGTGGAACTGCGCGGCGGCGTCGTCAAAGAAGCCCCGTGCCACGTAGCCGTCCAGCATGACGTTGCACGTGACCACGTTCCACTGTGGCATCCTGCTGAGCCACGCGAGCGAATCTTCCGGCCTGTGGAGGTTGGAATATGCCGAGACCATGGCCGTCCACGCGACCACGTTCCTCTCGGGCATTTCGTCAAACACGGCTTTGGCGCTGTCGATCTGGCCGTTGGTAACGTGGGCTTGGAAAATGACCGTCCAGGATACCACAGTGCATTCCGGAATTAAAGAGAACATTCTCTTGGCATCTTCGAAATGCCCTGACTGGGCATATAGCGAGATCATGGTCGTCCAAGACACGACATTCCGCTCCGGCATTTGATCGAACGTTTCCTTCGCGCCCTGGACATTCCCTCTTTGTGTGTAAGCCACCATCATCACCGTCCACGACACAACATTCCATTCCGGAATCCTCGAGAACCCGGCATTACACTCGGCAAGATGCCCGTTCTGGGCATATGCCGCGAGGGCGATGTTCCATGAGAAGAGATTCCGCCGCTCCATCGCGTGAAACACACGATCGGCGTCGCCGACGCTACCGCATCGCCCATACATATGAATGACCTGATTTCCCAGGAAAACGCTGCCGCGCCACTCGGTGGCGAGAATTCGAGCGTGGATTTGGCGGGCATGGGAGAGATCTCTGGCATCGTTGCACTGGCGTGCCAGATCCGCCTCGCTGTGAGCCCTATCGACGTGAAGAACATGAGCGCTCGCAAAAGCCCTCAACGCGTGGAGTGGGCCTTGCTTGGAACAAAGAAGCGACAGGCTGCTCGACATCTGGCCATTGATTCCCGTCTAGAAGAAATCCTGGCCGTCGAATTTCGCGGTGTGGCACTTCCGGTCTTGAAGAAATCGTGGTCGTCGGATTCGCGGTGTGACACTTGGCCTTACGGCGACATCCGACGGCCCACGTAAGCAGCCCTATTGGATTATCCAACGGTTCCAAGGAGGATATCCTCCGGACATATGCGACCTTTTTAGACCTAACGGAGGAGAAGCGACGCAACGTTTGTTCTGTGACTAGGGAAGGCGGTGGAATTTCTCGGGGGAGTCATCGCATTTTCCGTGCGAAATCCTCGCGGCGAGCTGGATCTGCTTCTAGGGTTCTGCAATCTCTCCAGGTAAGGCTACGCTGCTGGAACCGCTCCCTCTCGATCGAATGCGCGGTTTGCAGCTCCATGTCCGAGGGATGATCGAAGCTCTGGAGCGCGATGGCTACGGCGACGCTTGCGACGGCGGCTGGAGCAGCTGCCCTGTATTACTACTCGAGATGGGGGATTCCATGGGGAAGGCGCGGTGTGGATGAATTTGGCGAGCTGGATGAGGGCGGGGAATCCAGTAGGAGCTCCAGCTCCAGCTCCTTGAGGATGCCTCGGCTCGTCCGAGCTCCATCGACATGGCTGGAAGCTCTTGCCACGATTATGGAGACTTTGCGGTTTACTTACTCGGAGACTCTTGGGAAATGGCCGATTGGGGATTTGGCGTTTGGAATCAATTACCTTCTCCGGCGTCAAGTAAGTGGAAGTGTGGAAGTAGTGCGTTTCTTGTTAAATCAGCTACTCTACTTTCATCTTCGCAGGGACATCTCCACGTAGCTAGTGTTTTTGCTGGCGATGGTTGCCAGCTTACAGGCTTGGAGGTTGTGAATACGTTGAAGGAGCTCTTGCGATTGCTTCTTATATGTCTACATTTTTCAAAGAAGCCGTTCCCTTTGTTCCTGGAAGAAACTGGCTTCTCTAAGGATCAAGTGATTCTTCAAGAACCGAAGGCTGCGGTATGTTGGTTCTTTCTTTTCGGGACTAGTCGATTAAGTGAGCTATTTCTTTTCTTTCGTGCAGCTGTTGAAGCCCGCCTTTTGTGTGTTGAGGGATGACGAGACCGAATCCATACTTCTTGTCATCCGTGGAACTCATAGCATCAAGGACACGTTAACGGCTGTCACGGGAGCGGTTGTCCCCTTCCATCTCACGGTTCTTCATAACGGAGGCGTGGAAAGTTTGGTTTTGGGATATGCTCATTGCGGCATGGTTGCTGCTGCAAGATGGATTGCTCAGCTAGCTACTCCGCATTTGCTTGAAGCTTTAAATAAGTCTCCCGGCTATCGAATAAAGGTAAGAGGCGTGATTGGAACTCCTTTTTTGGCGCTTACGTTTGATCCAGATAGTTGGTCATTCACTTGGCGGCGGCACGGCTGCTTTGCTGACGTATATTCTTCGAGAGAAGAAGGAATTCAGTTCAGCGAACTGTGTATCCTTCGCTCCTGGTAGATAACTATTTTTTAGAGCCGAGACTTAGCTAACATTCTACTATTATCAGCTGCTTGCATGACGTGGGAGCTTGCGGAGTCTGGATTGCCATTTGTGACGTCTGTCGTAAACGGTTCAGATCTGGTGCCAACGTTTTCTGCTGCATCTGTGGACGATTTACGAGCTGAAGTAAGTAGTTTGCTGCTCATACTTCTCCCCTTTCGCTGTGAAATTCATTTTTCTGAAATAGGTGACATCTTCTGCTTGGGTCAGTGATTTCAAGGAGCAGATCGAACGAACAAGAATCTTGCGGACAGTGTATCGTTCTGCTACAGCAGTAAGTAGCAGATTGCCATCAATGGCAAGGATGCGAACTGGAGTTGCTAGCGCGGGGGCTATCTGGAAGCCAGTCAGCAGCAGCACCCAGGTACCTACTATCCCGAAACAAACACAAGGCTTTCCCCTTTCTCCACTCTCCTGATCCTTCTCCAGCAAAGATTAGGCCTACATCTTTTTCGGAGAAGCTCTTCCGGGTTTCTTCTATCCTTGGACGAACCGTGTTAGGATATACTGGCAAAGCAATCTTTGTCATCTTTCCAACCTGGTACTTCGTTGAGTTCCATTCCCCCCGTCCATCGTCCAGCGCCCTGCACCAATTTCTAACTACGTGTTTTAATGCGTCCAGGTTGTCATGAAACAAGCGCAGAACGTTGCAATGGCAGTTGTTCGGACTCGGCCATCGCTCGGATTGACCGGACTGTCTGGATGGGCGTGCATCGGGCCGCGTAGGCGTGCAAACACAGTAACGAGTACAGTGACGAGTATTAAAGAGAGTGAAGGGGGAATGGAAGAGGCTCCAAAGGCGGATTCTCTTCCGTGCTCGTCCACCTTCACCGAGGTGGAAGAAACAAAGTGGTCTGTGGAAACTCAGGAGGAAACAAAGTGGTCCGTGGAGACTCAGGAGGACACAAAGTGGTCCGTGGAGACTCAGGAGGAAATGGAGATTGAAGCAGAATTTCCCGGTTCGAGCTCCCAGGAGGCAGCGGATCACGTAAGCATTGGCGAGGAGTATCTGTGGCAGGAGCTGGAAGAAGAGCTCCAGCGGCAGAAGGAGGAGGATCGCCTGGGGCGGGAAGAAGAAGAGCGAGCAGCCAAGGAGATCACCAAAGAGGAGGAGGACGTGATGGCGTCCGCGACCGAGATGGGAAGGGACATAGTTTTGCCATCGGAAGAACAAGGCTGTGGCCGAGAGCGCAATCGGTTCTATCCCCCTGGTCGAGTGATTCACATGGTTTCGCCGCTGCCAGAGGACTCGGGCAGCGATGGTGGCGAGCAGGAATTCAAGGCGAGGGTGGGGCTGTTTGAGACGAACAGGAGGCTATATGGGAAGGTGCGGTTGTCGCGAACCATGGTGAATGATCACTACATGCCAATATACAGGAAGACCATGGAGCAGCTCATACTGGAACTTGAAAGTCAAAAATAAGTAAATGTACATTCCAATGTTTGCTGTTCCTCCCATTTATATGGGTTTGTATATAAGAAGAATAAAGACAAATTAGGGATTAAAGTTAAACTAATTAGGGCTAGGGTTTAGGGTTTAGGTATTGTCAGATTAGGGCTGACAAATTATAGTCAAGGGCTAAAGTGGCATAAAGTCACTGATGACCATTAACAATCAAAACTGTACAACTAAAAGCCCCGGATCACCTCCTCCTCTTGGCCTGAAACAAGAAAATCACTTCAGCATCTTTGTAACTGACGATCCTGAGCTAACAAAACCAAGTACGAGGCAGGAAGGACTTACACCGATCGGCACTTGGATGCTCTACAGGCTAATCCTGTAAAAGAAGCGTGCTTCCAGTCACACAGGAGCATAGACACAATGCAAACACAAATGCATAACTTAAGATCTACAAGCAAAAAAGAGAAGGGGACGAAGAACAAAACACCACATACCGATGATGTCTCCGAGGGAGCTTTTCTCTTCTTGGGAGTAGGCGCGGCGACCTCTTCCTTGTCACTACCAGAGCACGATTTTGTCGATGGAGAGGCTCCATTCTACAAAGACGAAGCAAAGTAAACACAAGGAAATAGAAACAAAAGAGCTGACTACCTTTGCAGGCTTCTTCCGAACCTGTCGATCGTTCTCCTCGGTCTCCTGGTTTTCCTTCTCGATCAGCCTGATGAGAGTGTCACACCGCCTTGCAAGCTCTGCTGGCGTGCGTGACTTCACAAACCAGTCGAACCGGAAAAGCGGCGAGCTCCTGAATGCCGCTTTCAGCTCGTCCCAGTTCCCATATCCGAGGCGTTGGATCATACATACCTGCAAAATGCATCATGAAATCGGTGGCGATAGTATACCTTCGTGCTTAACGTACCATAAAACGATCACACTCCTCGTTGTACAGCTTGCCTTTGTTTTGGCCGTACTGGATTTTCAGCTCTTGCCAGGGATTCCGGTATTTGTCTAGTTTCTTCCCGATCGATTTCATAATCTCGTCCCTTCGTGCAAGTCTGGCCTCACCCTTTTCGATTGTTTTGATTATTTTATCATATTCTGAAACAAATAAAGAGATTTTAGCCTCAAGGAATACAAAGCAGAAAAATTACATACCAGTAAGATCCTTGTAGCGCTCACTAAAAGCTTTTGCATACCGCTCAACTTCCTCTTCCGTCTTTCCTTCCATGTCAAGAGCTATTTTTCCAATTTCCGAGCGGCCATGCTTTTCGCATGCCTTGATAAAGTTGGTGAAGTCTTTTCGATTCCAAGTTGGAAAGCCCTGTAAAGAAAACAAATGAGATCTGGCAAAACCTCCCAATATTACCTCTCGCAAAAGTTGCTCTTTTTCCTCTTGCTCTTCTGGCGTAAGTGGTTCGCCTTCTGCTAGCTTTAAGTCAGACACGAAAAGGAAAGTAAAAGAAAACACACCCTCAATATCTCCCGTTTCACCGTCTTGATTCTTGTTCAGATATCTCCGCGTCACCTCTTTTTCAAAAATCTCCGTCAGTCGAGGAACGTTGAAAAATTGAAAGTCATGTCTGAAAATGTTAAAGAAAAAAAGAAAGAACAAAATATCGTAGAAGAAAGACAAGGATACAGTGGAGGCATTTTGGGAATTCTGGGCTCCTTGGACTTGCTTGAGGTGCTCGGTCTAAGTGCTTGCTTGAAGTATTCGGATTCTGAATAGCTGTGTAAACAATCTTATCAGTACCTGTCGTCTGGACCTCGATACTTACTTGCGCTTGCGTTCCCGTCTAGGAGGTTCAACCCAATTGTCAGCAGCTATTTTCTTGAAGTCTTTATTCTGAAATCAGAGTGTAAGGATAAGACCGCGTTCGAAATGCAAACTCTACCTTTTCCTTCTCATTATCAAAATCGTAGAGGGTGGTAGCTGTAAAATACAAAACATAGTGTGATGGGATGGATTAATAAGAGTGCACTTACGATCATCCATCTTAAACTGAATCGCATCCTCCGTGAACTTCTTCATCTTTGCATCCAGTTCAGCAGTTGCAGCTTCTCCCTTCGCAATTATACGATCTATATCTTCATCGGTTATGGTACTATCTTTAGAACTGAAAACCATCTCCGCGCCGTATCGAACCATTTGAAGAAGCTCATCCTTGTTAACAGCTGTGCCAAGCAAGTGTCAAAAAGTGGCAACGTTGAAACATTTAACCACATACTCTTTTCTTCCGCCAAACGACCTTGTTGTATGACTAACGCATCCAAGGCAAGTTTTTTGTAAGCCCGTTCAATAACTTTTTCCTCGATAGTCAACTGCAAAGCTCCCAGTTGAGAGGCCGAAAGGAAGTTATAATCAACTTATTACCTCTGTGCAAAACCGGAAAACTTGAACCTCCTTTTTTTGACCGATACGATGGGCACGATCTTGAGCCTGCAAATCGGCCTGGGGGTTCCTGCAAAAAATGGCCATATTAACCATCACTCAAAACTCATTGAAGGTCGTACCAATCACTGTCATACAATATAACAATATCCGCTGTTGCCAGATTAATTCCGAGGCCACCGGCTCGCGTTGACAAAAGAAATAAGAATTTCTCGCTTCCCTCCTTATTGAACGATTCTATAGCAGCTTCACGTTCTTCGCCACTTGTTTTTCCATCGATACGACAATATTGATATGTACGATAAATACAATAATCCTCCAGTATATCAAGAAGTCTGGTCATCTGAGAAAAGACAAGTTTATTTAGAGTATAATTCTGTAAAGGTAAATGCCAACCTGTGAGAAGATGAGAACACGAGAATCCCGTTGTTTGAGTTTCGGTAAAAGCTTGTCCAAAAGCACCATCTTGCCTGTCAGAAAAAACGATAAAGGACGAACGAGTGACCCTTAAAGAAACTAACCTGAGTTTTCAACAAGATGCTCTCCAGAGAGATATGGCGGACCTGGCTCAGCACCTTGAAATAAGTATGGATGGTTACAGCACTTTTTGAGCTGCATCGCAATATTTAGAAGGCGTCTTCTTTCTCCGCCAGTGTTGATAGCATCGAGATCTTTTTGGAGCAAGGATCCGTAGTAATGCTTTTGCATTTTTGACATGCCAACCTTGAGGATTGTTTCCTTCTTGGGAGGCAGCCCCTTTTCAACATCTGACTTCAACCTTCGCAAAAGGAAAGGCCGCAACACCTGTAAATCATTATCAGCATCGACGATAGCGCATAGCGCTCATTCATACCTTGTGAAGCTGCTGCACAACTTCTTGCTGGTCGTTTTCGCCAGATATTTGAAACCATTCGTCGAATGTTTCAGCAGAGCTGAAAATCTCCGGCAGCAGAAAGTTAAGAAGAGCCCATAACTCGTGTAGATTGTTCTGTCAATCGGTTCAGTGAATTAGGTTCAGCTTAAGAAACCTTTTAAAATACCTGCAGCGGTGTTCCTGTTATGAGGAGCCTAAAATTCGTAGAAAAAATGCGCATGGTCTTCGCCAAAATTGATTTCTCGTTCTTGATCCGATGGGCCTCATCAATAATAATATATCGCCAGCTGAACTTCTTAAGTGCTGCTTTCTCTTTAATTGCCATCTCAAAACTTGTAACGCATACGTCGAACTTCCCAGGTTTAAGTAAATTATCTCGCTGATAAGCCTGGAAGTACCATGATTTAGCAAGCACAAAGACTAACCATTTAACATACCCTTTCCTCCTGGGTACCGTGGAACTTGACTGCTCGGAGAATGGGACAAAACTTCCGAATTTCATTCATCCAGTTACCCAGAGTTGACTTCGGAGCAACCACCATATGCGGACCGGTAATTTTCCGATACTGATGCAAGTAGCCGAGAAGAGAAATTGTTTGTAGCGTTTTCCCAAGGCCCTGTTGAAGAAGAAATCAACACCATGAACTTCAAAATGAACAGCTCTACAATGTACCATTTCATCGGCTAGAATTCCATTGATTCCGTTCTCGTAGAGCTTAATGAGCCAGTTCAGACCTGCGAGCTGATAATCCCTCATAACTCCTTTAATGCCTGCGCTTCAACAAATGTTAGAAATCATCCAAACGAATAACCAGCATACAGGATGGTTGCGTGAATAGTTTTGTTGTCCCAACCCCGCTTTCATCCTGAGCTATATCTTTGTCTTCCTCCTCTTCAGTCAGTTTACGGCGTCCTCCTCCTCCTCTACAAGTAAGGTTAGTCCGAGTAAACACAAGCCGAGTTCCACAGTATCTTCCGCTTCTAGAGCATTCCTATTTGTACCTCTTCTTCTTGGAGGACGTGTCAGCTGGAGCGCCTTGAGCGAAGTGAGAAAATAGTTCTGTCTGCTTTAGCAAGAACTTTAGCCTCCCCTCCGCTTTATGATTCTGATCGGCAGCGCAATCGTCAGGGGGAGAAATTCGTCAATCGACAGCTTGATTTTCAGCTTACCATATCAGCATCTATTTGAGCATTTTGCTGGCTGAGCAATTTGAGCTGATCACTGTTCCTCTTTTTCAAGACTCGCAGCCTCTCCTTTTCTTTATGGGAGATCTCGTCCTGCGGCAAAAAAATCAGCTCTAGACCAAGCGAAGAATTCGTACCTCGTCATCGGAGCTCTCGTCTGCCGAAGAGTGCCGGCTGGATTCCGCCTCTTCCTCTTCCTCCTCCGCGTCGCCGAGATCCTCAATTTCCTCCTCCTCCTCAGCTTCGCTGCTGCCGCTCTCCTGATTCTCGGCCGCCATGGGCTCCTCCTCGTCCTCCTCTACCGAGGGCGACCTCCTTTGCCGCGCCATCAACCCTAGCAGCTCTAAGAAAACCTAACTCACACTCTTCGTTCCTTTAGGCGCAGCTTCCAGGGGAGCATAGGCATCAAGGGCGGCCTCATGCGCATCCGAGCCGTTGCTGCGGCAACGGACGGCCACGATCGCCCCAATATTTCGGTCAAAAAATTTCCCGCCACAAAGCTTTAGGGCCGACGGAGTGGCAATGGCGAGCGAGCGAGATTTTCTTCCCGAAGATTTGCCACGCTTTGGGGCTATGTCGCGTGGCGCGCGAGAAGATTTGGAGGAAATTCGATCGCCACTATTTTAGGTTTTTCCTCCCCTTGCTCGGTTTTGTCCGTCTTTCCTTCCAGGCTGTGTTGCAATTGTTCTTGCTGCTATTCTCTATGTGGTTGGATGGCATTGGCTCGAGCTGGAATATACTACAGCTTTTCTCCTCTCATGGTTTTTTTTGGGTTTTTTTTTTCTCTGTCCTCTTTGGCCAGGGGAGGGTAATTTGGATGATCGCTAGGGCTGGGAGGCGAACGAGGGTGAGCTCCGATCGATAGCTTTTCTGGCGATTTGCTAAGAATTCCTTGCAGCGGATCATGAGCATTCGTCCGTGAGGAGGCCATCGGATCTTTGTGCCGCTGGGGAGGATTGGATCGATCGAATTAGGGATGGCTGCAGCCCCGCTGGAGCAAAAATATGTGGAGCTGACAGAGGACATGTTCAAGGAGGTTTGGATTTTGGTTATCAAAGCTCGAACCTCTCATTCTTGCTCGTTTTTTTTTTTTTTTTTTGGTTTTTTCTTTTTTGAATCCAGGGATTTCTCGATGATCAGTTTGTCCAGCTCCAACAGTTACAGGACCCAAGCAATCCAGGATTCGTGGCGGAAGTTGTAACGCTCTTTTTCGAGGACTCCGAGAAAATAATCGACAGCATCACTGAAACACTGTGAGTTTTAACTTAACTTCTGTTTTGATTTGATGCGTATGTGTCTCTTTGTCATTTTTGTTGGCAGTGAAACTGATCCTCTTGACTTCAAAGTTCTTGATGCTCATGTTCATCAGTTCAAAGGCAGTAGCTCCAGGTATCTACGCAAAACATCCTTTTGCTTTCTCACAGACGAATCGATCGAACTCACAGCATTGGAGCGCAACGCGTGAAGAATGTTTGCATTAGCTTTCGGCAGTGTTGTGATGCTTCAAACAAAGAAGGGTGAACCAGGATTCTTTCAAAAACTTCTCAAATACTATGAAATCCTTTTGTTTTTCCAGGTGTGTGAATTGCCTTCAACAAGTTAAACGGGAGTATCAATTGGTGAAAGCAAGGTTGGAAACACTTCTTCAGGTTCAAAAACGAGATTTTTCTTTACCAGTAAGATTTTGTAATGAAACTTTTTGTGTAGCTGGAAGAACAAATTGTTGCTGCTGGAGGAATAGTCCCACAGTTTGAGTAAACAATGAAAACCCGAATCGATAATTGCTGCTAATTTGTATTGATTGAGTGGGGAGTTTGTGCCACTGCTTGGTTTTTTTCCTCCCACTATTTGCAAAATAAAACAAAAAATTCAACCATGCTTTCAACATTATAGCGTATAAAGAATACAATTTGGGGTGTCACATGAAAATAATTGCTTTCCAAACCATATCTATCAACTCAGAGTTGATGAAAAAAAAAGGGATAAGAAAAAAATCATGAAAGAAGAAAATTGAGAGGAAGATGATCAAAGTATCAAGAGTTAAGGCTAACTTGCCTGGCCAGCAGATTTTTGCTTCTCGTCAGCTCTTTTCTTCGTCGCCGGGCTTGAGCTGCCGTAGCTGCTGCTAGCGCATCTTTTCTCCCCGTGTAAAATGAATAAGGGAAACTATAAAATCTTGGAGGAACCATTGTTGTATAGCGTTCCACTGTAAGCAACGGCGCCGCTGTTTGATTCGTGCGAGCCACCGCTGCTGTGGAGTGTGAGGTTTGTGACTCCACCAATTCTATGTTGTCATCCTGCCTGTTAACTTGGACAGTCTCAGTGATCGCTTCCTTGAATCCATCCGGCTTCTTTGCACACTTGGATTCGTCCTCTAAAGTGGGAAGAACTGGGAAGGAGGCGCCGAGCTCTATGTACTTGTCAGCAAGCTGCGAGACAAAGCTTTATGTAAGACGTGAGTATGAATCATACTTGTTATGTACCTGCTTTCGTAAAGAACAGCCTGCTTCATACAGACGCCGGTTTTCCTCGCGGATCGCTTCGATTTCCTACACGGAAAAGAAACACAGGCTTAATCGATCAATCACGAGCAAAGCGAGGGAGCATTTACCTTCCTACATCGATCGTTTGCTGAAGAAAGCTCGTTCGCTTTCAACGTCATCTCTTCACACATTTTCTGCGAATCAAGAGACCATGCTTTACTGCCACGCCATGTAATCCCATGATAAGTACCTGCTTTCGGCGTATGGTTTGACGTGCGGACTCCCGATTTGCTTCTATTCGTCGAAGTCTGCGGATCTCTTTCTCCTCCTGGAAGACAAGTTCGAGAAAAGCAAAACATATTAGACGAGACAATGAAACTCAAAATGGCTTACCTCGGTTAACACGGCTCTGGCAGACCGTCCTTTACCGCATCCTAGCGTAGAACTCATTCGCCTATCCTTTGCATGGAAACTCGACCTCCCGTCCTCCAGCTTTGGCTGCTTCATCCCACGGAGCTTGCTCCAGGAGATTGCCTTTGGCTTCTCCTCAAACTCCAGCGATGACTTGAACGCGCATTGCTGGACCAGCCCCGCCTCCGACTTGACGTAGGCCGAGTATCCCTCGGTTCCAAGAGGCGGAAGTGGTGAGCTCGGGCTCTCAGCCCGAAAGCCCGGCTCCAGGGAATCCTCGGAAGTGTCAAACCTGTTGTAAGTCACCAAAGGAAGGCTACCACCACCGCGTTCCTTATCACTGTCCGAAGGGTACTCGTCCTTGACGAGTGGGAAATCCACAGCGCTGTTGGAGGCCACCAACATACTGCTGCTGGACGACTCCATCCCATACTTTGTAGATCTCTTGCGCTTTCTCTGCCACTGGAGCTTCATGCCAGAATCGTCGTCTCGAGCCACCACTACTTGCTTGCTAAACTCTGCGAGCGCCTCAGCGGCATCTATCTCCGTCTTGACGAGGTCGGCCACATCCTCGGCCTTTGCCCGCTTCCGCGGCTTCCCTCTCCCTTTGCTCTTCATTCTTTCCGCTCTATCAGTCACACATCCAATCCTTTGCCCCGCAATGAGAGAGATCCAGAGTACCTGCTAGAGCATGGCCCAAAAGCCCCGGAATCGATCGATCCCGGCAGAACCCTGTGCGCGATTCCTCGCAGCGGCGCAATGGAGCTGGAGATTGACCGTGCCTACCTCTAGGCTGCTCCGCCACCGCGATGGTGTTCTAGAGATCGCCCCGAAAAACCCTAGCCGCACTCGCGAAGCTCTCACTCACTGGCGCTGGACAAAAGCCCTATGCGCCCTCGCTCCTCTCCATCGCCTGCGCCACTATACTAGAGGCGACCCGGGCAGCGTTTTTCCTCTACAGGTAAATTCGAGCTCGCTGTGAAAGAGGCCAAGTGTGACGGCGCCGTAAAATCGCAGAGGATTTAGGCCTGCCCGCTGCCCGCGAAGGTGGCGTACGCCATCGCCGCCGTCGGGTTGGGGGTGATCCAACGGCTGCAGGTCAATGCCGAGGCTGCGGCCATGGATGGGTGGGGCTGACGTGGCAGGAGCCCGTGCGCTAGTGCCAATTGGCGACACGGCCTTACAACTGCCACGTGGAGCGCTTGGGCTGTGCCAACTAGACCGTGTCGTGCGTGAGTCAGCACAAGAATGTTGGAGCGATTTTTTTCGTTTTAGGGCAACAGTTAAAAGCCCTGGCTATGGCGCGATTGTTGACGATTTTACTGCTTGTGGCGCTGGCCGTGGATCGCGGCTTTGCTTCTAAGCGGCGGGCTATCACGGTAAATTTAGGAAGCTCCTTTTAGAGCTGTGATTGATCGATCGGTGTTTAGGACGACGAGATTTTGGCCAAAAAAAAAGAGTGTCTCCAAGACATTAACAGGTAGACCTCTATTAGCGATCATACACTTGACAATTTGGTCTATTCTCCAGTGGACTCTGGGGCTGGAAGTGCCAATCCAGCAGCATCGCCAAGCAAAATTGCATGCTCCAATGCGTTTCGTGGACTTGCTACGATCTAATCTATGGAAACGATGCCGTGAGTTTAGAGAACGTTGCCTCGCGATCGACTCACTGTTCTTGTTGCTTAGCTCGAGGAGGGCGAGGTGGACATTAGAAGAGGTCGCCAATTCAGGGAATGCTTGCGGAGGTAAAAACTACAGGCAGATCTCATGTGGATCTATAGATCTAAACTTCTCTCCTTCCTTTCTCACAGGGAGTCAAAAGGGGACGACGTCTCCTCTCTGGGACGCTTCTTTGACGATTGAAGCTCGAGATCGCTCTAGTGTTTTGACCAAGGAGGAGGAATCTTCTAGCGAATCAACGTGCTTTAGGGGGGTGCCCTTGCCTGTGCATGTGTAGATTCCTCCCATCGTTTATAAAATGGCCTCGTATGTGTCGGGACAGTGGATTGAGCTCGTGACCTCACCCATCGCCGGGTAAAAATAAACCACCACGAGTTAAAAAGCTTTCACCCCCCCACCCGTGGTAAAAGCAAGGGAGAATAATTCCAAAAAGCGATGAAGCGAGCAAGCAAGCTACCTGTCGATGCTACCACTGGCCCCTATATGATTTGGATGGTTCGGTTGGATGAAGATTAAGGAGAAAAAAGGAAAAAAAGAAAAACAAAAAATCTTCAAACAGAAAAACCCACGTACTCTCTTCACTCGCCCCTCTCCGGCCGGCGGTCCATACAGGACGCATGATCCAACAAGGTACCCAGTAGCTTCACCTACCTACCCCTTTGCCCCGGGTCGAGTGACGTGGACACTGGGGCAGGGCGGGCAGCGCGGGCAGCACCGGGTTGGACACGGCCGGCAGGAAGGTACCTGGCAACCCAAGCCAGACCAGGCAAACATATACATTTGCATGAATGAGCCACAAAAAAGAAGGGAGAGTGCGCACTCGCCGTTGCGCATCGACGAGATTTCTAGGGTTTGTGAGCTGCGCGACTCTCGCCCCGCGAGTGTGAGGCATTAGGTCGCGGCGGCGACAAAGATCTGAGCGCCTGCGTTCTTCCGCATTGAATCCTCTCTCTTTCTCGCTCTCTCGCTCTCGTTCTCGCTGGAATCCCTCTCTTCGCTCGCGCGTCCGGCTCTAGAAACACGGCGCTGTGCGTGTGAGGTGGGGCGGCAGTGGAAATCCCAATCTTCCCCCAATCTCTTCCAATCTTGTGTAGGAGAGGGAAGGGGGAGGCATCTTTTTCGTGGTTAGGCAGATGGTGTTGACTTGGCCGGCGGCGCTCTTTTTCCGGGGCGCGCCGCGAGGAGATGCATGCTCGAGATGGAGATTGATTGTGCTCTCAATCTTCGCGGCGGGGTAAATCGAGAGCCTCGCGGCATGCAGGAGCTCGCGGCTTAGGCTCTAGGCCGGGCGAGCGAGCGAGATTCGGCTCCTATTGGTGAGGAAAAGCGGTGGATGGAATACGCAGAGTCGTCCAAAGGGATGCTGGAGAAGATGATGACCAACGAAACGCTAGCCAAGATGACAAGAAGTTCCCATTTCAATCCCAAAGCCGGGGGAGTTTCCACTTCCAACGGGTTTCGCAGCCCCATGCTACCCCCTCATCTCAACGGGAAGACAATTTCGGGGATTTCGTCTCTTTCGCAGTCAGGTAGGCTCCAAAGTTCTTCTCGTTTTTTTTTTTTTCCTTTTCCTTTCCCTCCGTGTTCTTGCTATTTCTAATCTCCGTGTTTTGTGTCGCTCACTCACAGGCTCCAAGTCCTCCAATTCGGAGCCGCAACCCAGGAGGAGCGTCATCACTTTGAAGAACGCGCCTGGCCCCCCTGTAAATAGCTCTGGGACGGGAGTTCTGAAGACCAAGTCGTGCATCACAACTGTGGAGCGACTTGGGTCGGAGTCCAAAGGTGTGGGGGGAGGCCGAGGGGGTCGAAGCCGCAAGAGATCTAGAGAAGGGGAGGTGCTTGCCGCGGAGCTCTCTAATCACCAGGATGACAAAAAAGACGGCTCCAACAATGGAGCTGCTGATCAGTCCACGAGTGCCTCTGGTGCGTTTGTTTATCATTCATCTCTCACCTTTTTTCATTCTCTTTCTTTCTTGGAGTTTTGAGTAGATTTAAACATCTCTTTTTTTCTCTCTCTCTCTCTCTTCTCAGAAAATGTCGAGTCAACCAGACGGAGACGGCGAGGGCAAAGCTCAAAAAGACTAGACAAAAAAAATGGTCACTTACCTCCCGTGGCCGATTTATCCCCTTCAAAGCTTAAAGTCTCATCAAACTCTGCTAGTGCCACTGGCATTCTTGGTGAGTTTCTTTACAATTCGTCCAAGTTGGTTCCTTCGTCGATCTGAAACACGATTCTTTTTCCTCTTCCTTTTTCGCAGACATGTACGGGCTCAAGTCCAAGCATGTTGATCTCTCTCGCTTCATGGTAAATATTACTCCACTGGACATTCTTTTGTCCGATGACAGAGAGAAAACGCAACCAGCATCGGCGGACGATGACGGCGGCGATGGCGAATCCGGACTTGTATTAAAGGAAATAAACAATGTCATGCAGCTTTTGCCAAAGCATACGTTTGTTCAGAAGCCTTTTGTAGAAAATGCTCTGAATGAAGATGTGAAGGTAAGGCTGATGTTGGATCTCGAGAGGCCATCTCAAGGCGACGAGAGCCAGCAATCCGAGGACAGACTACACACGCCGGGATCCCTGGACAAGGTACGTTTTTTATCATTTGGTTTTGCTGATCTTTTATTCATGTCTTCATGCAGACGAAATCGAAATCGTTCGAGCTCTTTCCAACCTTCACTCTCGAAGACTTACCTCTTCACTCAGTTGAAGATTTTGCGGACAGACTCAAGCTGCCGGCTAGTGATTCTTTAGACGCGTTGATATCGTTCTCGAAGCCGACGGACCATGCGGGGCCGGGTACAGAGAAAAACTCTAGATACGAAGGCATTCCTCCATCTCCCTTCTCGTTCTCTCCATGCGGCGTGTCGGATTACAGTAGAGCAGCAAGGAACGGCAGGACAGGCGAACGGACATGGCCGAAAAGTGAGAGTGGCTCAAAGACAAAGGTGGAGCCGACGCCGGTGAAAGTCGAGGTGCCGGAGTCGAGAAGCGGAGCTGCAGCGGTCAGGCCCAAAGAAGAACAAGACGAAGAAGGTTCACTTCCTCAGAGGGATCGAGGAGGCGAGTTTGAGAAGAGCAAGTCGGCTGTGCATCCAGAGCTTCCTTCGCTCCAACTTAAACGTGACGACGATGACGCACCTCACAGTCGAAGAACACTCTCGAATCTACCAGGTAGCTCTTTTTGTTCTTATTCTTTTGGACGTCGTGAGTAACGCATTGCTGGTGTTTAATGCATGCAGCCATGCCATGCTCTCCGGGCGTTCAAGCTGCAACTATTCTCTGCACGATGGCCAACTCGGACGACAAGGAGTTCGTCGTCAAAGGCAAGAGGCAGCAAAGCAGCGAGGCTCCACACCACAGGACGTCAAAGCTGGCGAGGATAGACGAGAAGCCGAGCACGCAGATCCCCGACGGCCACGGCACGTCCCGGAAAGAGACCGCCAGCCACCACCACCACCCGCCAGTGAAGA